GAATACATGGGTGCTTTGAGCCCTTGTGATTCATTTGCACAATTTGACAAATCAAAGTTATTGAAGTTGGGCTAGTTATACAAGTATGACTTTGATGATTCAGATATGATAGACCTTGAAAGACAACTTGAGATATTTTATCACTCTTGCATCAAAGATGAGCGCTTCACTAGTTTGAAAGGAATTTCCGAACTTTCTCGTTTGATGGTTAGTACGGGGAAGCATCGGTCTTATCCTTTGGTTTATAAGCTTTTAAAGTTGGCTTTGATATTACCCGTAGCGACCGCAAGTGTAGAAAGATGTTTTTCAAAGATGAAGCTCTTGAAGACCGACTTGTGTAACAAAATTGGCGATGAATTTTGGAATGACGCATTGCTTTGTAATGTCGAGACCGAAGCACTTGCGAAAGTTGAAAATGAAAAATTAATAGAGCGGTTTCAAAAGATGTATGCACGAAGAGGACAAATTTAAATTCTAATAGATCGTTGTTATATTATGTTTAACCAGAAAAAAAATTTGTATTAAATGTTTTATATTATGTTTGACCGAAATTTTTTTTTAATGTTTTATATTATGTTTGACCGGAAAAAAAAAATTTGTGCAACCCCTACTACTAATTTTTGCATCCCCTGCCCATAATAATCCATTTGTGATCTTATGTATTGTACATGATCAAAATGATCTTATTCCTAACTAATATGTTTTATACTTAATGTTTACAGTTTGTAGCAACAAAAATTATAGGTGACGCTTAAGAAGTTAAAGTAAATGACACTATGGTGCGAGTAAATTTGAATATGAGTTCATTTTGGTAGAATCTTGTTCCGATCTTACGATCACGATTTTGCAAAATGTAAAATGGTCTTAGGTAAGATCTCGATTTTGACAACCTTAAGTAATATGTCTTTTATGTTTAACTATTTTGAATACATTGATCATTTGCAAAAGTATTTAAGTCAAAATGATAGAAAATTGTTTGCCTGTAAAATTAAGGCAATATCCGACACATATAAACTAACTTATTTTTATGAGTTTATTGCAATTTAGTATATGGTGATATCACAAAGTTAGTTTATCGTAGTTTGTAAACTAGTTTTTAGATAAGCTATTTGAGATAGTTTATTGATAAATTAGATTATAACTTAAAAACATGAGCGATCCTCATATTTCGTTAGAACGTATGCAAATAGTTAAAATTAAGCCCCGAAACTAGTAATGTTTTTAAAATATAAAAAAATAATATCCCTTGCATCTTTTATTTCATAATATA